AAGGAGTCGTTACTGGGGCCTGCTCGAGGCAATCGACGATTTGTGTTTGGCATATCGAATACATCACGGGTAGCTTGCCAGGCTTGGCCGTGCGGGCGAGATACTCTTGGTAGCTTGCCGGGCTCTCCGAGAGGGGCAGAGGAATCAAACCTGGGTTGCCAGGGTCAGCCGCGTGCAAGGCAAATGCCCTATCTGCTGTGCTATCGCTCCAGCCCATGCAAGTGTAAGGTAGTGATTCATCTGCATTCATTTGCATGTAATTATCTATTGTTCCCATCGCTATTTGTTGAGGACACTTTCTTCATACTCTGCTTTTGGTTCCTTTGTTGCAAATGAACTGTTTCTGTATGTGAGGATTTAATTTTGGTTCTCAGTTTTACTCAGCTGATGCATGTGTCTACACGGATGCCACCATACTGTCCTATAGTGAATTGATGACTATATCTTTGAAGCATAGTTTGAGGTTAAGGCATATTACACTTCTGTTCTCCTTTGGTCTCAGATTGCTTCAGCTGTTTGAGGACTTTTGTGATTCTATATAAGCTTCAGTATCATTTGTTCCATGTCTTTGAAGAATTTCATTGGGATATTGATACAGATTACATCGAATTCCTATCGAAGAGATAGGATGCTCATTTTAACAAATTAATCCTTCCAATTGATGAGCAGAGAATATCTTTCCATCTCTGTATGTTTTCTATTTCTTTTCATTGATTCCTCCACCCCTCTCGGAGAGCCCCGTAAGCTAGCAAGAGTATCTCGCCTGCACGGCAAAACCTGGCAAGCTCCCCGTGTGATGTATTCGATATGCCAAACACAGTAACAACAAGTCTCAAAATGGAGATGTTACTGCGCCCACTCGAGCAGATCAATGAATAACGGGAGGACAGTTTTTGATGGAGAAGTCTTTCACCTCTCTTATTGTTCATTCCTAGGTACTTCATTCTTGTCAGCCATTCTAAGCCACTGACTATGCCCTGGAGCCCATCTCCTCCATTTTGTTAAGATTTTTGGAAGGATGCTGAACAAATAAAATGGATAAAATAATAAATGGATACATATGGATAAAATGGATAAGTAAATAAAATAAATAAAATAAAATGGATGCTGGATCTTATCAAAAGCTTTCTCTGCATCTATTGATAATCATATAGTTTTTTCTCTCTTTGTTGATGTGTTGTTATGTTACATGAATTGGTTTGCATATGTTGAACCATTTATAGAACAAATTCCACCTGGTTATGATGTGTGCTACTTTATTGAATTAACTTGATTTTGTTGAAGATCTTTGCATCTCTGTTCAGAAATAATTGGCACAGAGGTTCCCGTTTTGGTGATGTCTCTATTTTTGGTGTGAGGGTAATGTTGGCCTCAAAATATGTTTGGAAGAATTTTCTTAAATTTGGGGGCAGCCCGTGAAAAGATTAAGTAAAACCCTCTAAGATTTTGTAGTAGTCACTTGCCAGACCATCTGATCTGAGTCTTGTTTTAGGTGGGAACCTTTTGGTTCCTGCTTTAGCTTCTTCCTTGCTTGTTGTTCTGTTCATGTCTTCTGCTTCCTGAATAATTTTCCGTTTCTTCTAGGTTTTCCAACTTGGTGGCATAACTGTCTTGCTCTTTCTGTGGTATCAGTTGTAATTTTTCTGCTCTTTCATTTCTGAACCTATTTATTAGGCTTCTCTCTCTCTCACTCTTTTTTTTTTTTTGCTTAATTATCTAAGCTGTGGTACATGTCTTCAGCTCACCTTATATTTTCTCTGTCCTACTCCTAAAAGCAATCCTCTCTTTTAGTGAGGATTAGATTCAAAAATATCGGGCTGGGGTGATAGCACAGCGGGTCGGGTGTTTGCCTTGCCCGCATGCGGCCGACCCGGGTTTTGATTCCCAGTGTCCCATATGGTCCCCTGAGCACTGCCAAGGGTAATTCCTGAGTGCAGAGCCAGGAGTAACCCCTGAGCATCGTGACCCAAAAAGCCAAAAAAAAAAAAAATCTAAAATATATATTGTTGTACTTTTCATATTTTATATTATTGGTTTTGGAGTCATACCTGGCTGTGCTACGGATTAATTCCTGGCTCTGTAGTCAGGTCACTCCTGATGGCAGTCAGGGGACCATATATGGTGCTGAGAATTGAACTCAGGTTGGCCACATGCAAGACAAACGCCTTACTTGCTGTACTATCTCTGGCCCCTGTATAGAAAAAAGAAATCATTAATTCTTATATCACCTCTAATTCAAATTTATCACTGTAGAGTTTTGATTCTTTTACGTTGGGCTCCTGTTTCAGCCTAAAACATTAACATTTGTATCATAAAGTATATTTTTAAATATTTCAAAATATTAATAGTGACAGTTTAATAAGATTATTGAGCGGCATTTTACATTTCTTTGCAGTTCTGCTTAGTATATGTTCTACTAACAGGAAGCAATCAAAATGCCATAAAGTTACTTAAAATAATTCTTTCAGCAGTGCTGTTTTTTTTTCACTTATTTGATAACTGGGAGTCATTCATTTTATTTTGTTTTCAGTTTTTTTCCTTTAGTTTTATTAGTATTGTTAATATGTAAAGTATTTGGGCTGGAGCTGCAGGTTGACTTTAGGTTGACCTTGCGACCACTCACTACAGCGGTAGGGCGTTCGCCTTACAAGCGGCCAACATGGCCGACCCGAGTTCGATTCCTCCGCCCCCCTTGGAGAGCCCCGCAAGCTACCGAGAGTATCTCGCCCACATGGCAGAGCCTGGCAAGCTACTCGTGATGTACTCGATATGCCAAACACAGTAACAAGTCTCACGAAGGAGACATTACTGGGCCCGCTCGAGCAAATCGATGAACAACGGGAGAACCGTGACCGTGATCTCTTGGGCTGGAGCAATAGCACAGCGGGGAGGGCGTTCGCCTTGCGTGCAGCCAGCCTGGCCGAGCTGGGTTCGATTCCTCCGCCCCTCTCAGAGAGCCCAGCAAGCTACCGAGAGTATCTCGCCCACACGGCAAAGCCTGGCAAGCTCCCCGTGACTTATTCGATATGCCAAACACAGTAACAAGAAGTCTCACGATGGAGACGTTACTGGGCCCGCTCGAGAAAATCGATGAACAGCAGGAGGACAGTGACAGTGGTATTTGTAAAGTATTTACAAGATTTCAAAATGAAACTGCGTAACAAGCATGAAGTCTCACTGCAGTCTGCCTGTGAGCTGCTGCTTCTCTCCACAGCAGCTATTTTTACTTCAGAGCTTGATTTTTCCTAGTGCTTCCTTTCTAAATATTTTACACACATTTCTGTTTTTCTTCTTATATAGAGATTGGGTAACTCATAGGTAGACTCCCCCACCCCCACCCCCCACGCACATCTACTTTCTAGTATGACCTAGAGATTACTCATTGGTATGCCTTTGGTGGTGGTGAGGTTATATGTTTTGTCTTTTTACATGGAATTATTTATTTGTTTATTGGCTCCACACCTCCCCCACCTCCCCTCCCCCCCCACACACACACATCACACTCAGTGGTGCCTGTACTTTCAGGACTCAGTTTTGCTGGGGATTGAAGCCAGACCTCCCCCTTCAAAGCTGCATTCCCCACCTTCAGCTCTCTCTCTGGTCTAAGATTTTTGCTATTCGTGGCTTTTTTTCCTCTGCTGCACAGTATACTGCTGCTTGGATGGAGCATAGTTAATTTTTTTAAGTCCCTTTTGATGGACATTGGGGCTGATTTCAAACATTAGCAATTAAAATAATGATGGAGTGTGGACCTTCAGGCTCTTTGTATTTGGGGCCACTGTGTCTCTGGGATGGCTCTCTAGGAGTCCCATTGTTAGGCGTCATCAATCCGGGAAGCTCACTAGAGACTCAGGACCTTGGGTGCATGCTGATGACTTCACACTGGCAGCCTTCACCTGGCATATACCAGCATTCCAGACTCTCCGAGGAAAAGTAGAGGTGTGGTGTCTGCCCTATAACTGTGCAGTGAGGGCCCAGAGGCCACTCTGCAGTCCATCACGGAGCCTTACTAGATGCCTGTCTTCAGACACTGTGCCAGCCTCAGAGGCAGCTTCTCAGAGGATGCGCCTCGTTTGCTTTGCTTTGTCCACAACACCGCTTCCCTTGCCTTCCCCTTTCTCTGTCCCTTCTCCTTTCCCTCTCCTCTCTCCTCTCCCCCTTCTTGTCTTCGTCCTTTCCTGCCTCCCACCCTGCCTCCCTCAGGGTTTGAGCTTGGGTTCCCAGCAGGCTCCAACCCTTTAAGCTTTCTCCCCGACATCTTTCTTTCTTTCTTTCTTTCTTTCTGAATTATATGTATTTGTGTGTTTTGCCTACTTTTTCTATTACAGTTTTGTGGTCTTTTTCTTCTTGATGCTCTTTTATGTTAGCAATTTGGACCTATTGTGTTATGCCGTACACGTATATAAGTGTATCTGGATCCTTTTAATTATTATTACTATTAGTTGGGGGCTGGAGTGATAGCACAGCGGGTAGGGCGTTCGCCTTACAAGCGGCCAACATGGCCGACCCGAGTTCGATTCCCCCGCCCCTCTCGGAGAGCCCGGCAAGCTACCGAGAGTATTCGATATGCCAGACACAGTAACAACAAAGTCTCCAGTGGAGACGTTACTGGGCCCGCTCATGCAAATTGACGATCAACGGGAGGGCCTTTACCTTACCTTTATTATTAGTTATTTTTGCTCTACGACCTTTAGAATTAACATCTAGCTGTACAGTAAAGTCACATTACTATTTTAGTCAAGATTGTATTAAATTTATAGATCATTAAAATGGGCATTTTATTTATGTTGAATTTTCGCTCAGTAATACCATATGTCTTCCATTTGGTCACATTCACTTGTGTGCATGTAAGGAGCTTGTCAGAGTTTTCCTTGTATGGGATTTTTGCGTTTCTTATTAACACTGATTTAACACTGATGCTTTCCCCTCCCCCCCTTTTTCACTTTAAACCTACTTGTCCGCTGAATTGAGGGAAATGATCCTTAATGATTATATGACAGATTTGATGTTGAAACCCGACATGTGTTTATCGGTGACCAATCAGGCCAAGTGACCATCCTCAAGCTGGAACAGGACAACTGCAACCTGGTCACGACGTTCAGAGGACACACAGGTGAGGCCGGGAGCAGAGCTCGCAGGCACCATGGTCACCGTGAGATACCCCCACTGTGCTGTGTGAATCACAGTGTGTTCTGGCCTTATGGAAAGATGCACACCACACAGAAGTGAGTCAGTATGGTCCAGTAGGATGCAATTGCCAACATTCACTGCTTCACCACACACAAATCAGGAACCAGTTAGTTTGAAAATATTGATGACTTAGTTTTCTGTCATGGCGCTTCAGGGAAGGGCAATTTTCATGAGTCACTGAGATGCTGAGACTGAAAAAGCAACTGTCAAACCCCAGAAGGCAAAAGGGAAGCTCCCTCTGTCTGGCCTCGCCATCCCTGGAGTAAGAAGATGCTGTGCATGAGAGACCTGCTTCCAAGGCAAATGAAATAAAAGTGATTCATCAAGGGTGGATGCAGTGTTCAGGGTCACACTCCAATCTGTGCTTGGGAAACCTCTGGAAGGTTTGCATGTGGTGCCAGGGATCGAAACTGGGTCAGCTGCCATAAGGCAAACAAAACAAACAAACACTGTCCTCCCGTTGTTCATCGATTTGCTCGAGCAGGCCCAGTAACGTCTCCATTGTGAGACTTCTTGTTACTGTGTTTGGCATATTGAATACATCACGGGGAGCTTGCCAGGCTCTGCCGTGCAGGTGAGATACTCTCGGTAGCTTCCTACACTGGCTCTGGCCCCTCAGATAAATATTTCTTAGAAGTTTCTTGCCCACCTCATATTCCTTTATTGTAAACCGAGTCCTGCTGTATCCCTCGTCATCTTGCTTCCTGCCTGGTGTGGGGGCCTGCTGGCTGTATGTCCAGGGTAGTCCTTTTGCACTTTTGTGTGCAGAGACTAGCACAGAGACAAATTGTCCCACCTAAGCAAGTAGAAGCTCCCTTTACTTCCTTAGGACTCTATTCAGCTGAAAAGTCAGGACCCCGTTATGTTACTGCTATAGCAGTAACTTAAGCATGGCTATATAAAATATCCATTCTTAGCCGTTGGCAAACTTGAATAGCTGATGAGAAAGACTTGAATAATTGTTGATGATGATGATGATGATGATGATGATGATGATGATGATTGGTGGTGGTGGTGGTGGTAGTGGTGGTGATGATTGTCGTCGTGGTTGTGGTCGTGGTTAAGAACTAGTAAGTAATGGAATTTGTAATGTGTTGTTGACCCTGGAAAATGTGCCCCTGGCTGTATTTGTGGTCCTAATGTGCGTTTGTGTCTAATGAAGATTTCCACCCATGATTTAGTGCAGAAGGTTAATACTGAATTTAGATGGCATCTAAGAACAAAAATAGGAAATGAGAATCTAAAAGCAGGATAGTTGACATTAAATTGACATAAATCATAGGGGATTTCCCCAGAGACCAAAAAAAAAAACGCTAAAATAAGAAACATGCAATAAAGGGAAAATTGAATCCGGGTTGGGGTAGTGGGAATTTATTGTTTAAAAATTTTATCTGTCTATTTGGGAAGGAAGAACACAGAGAAATATTTTCTGTGAAGAGAACTCATTCTGTCCTCGTAGGATTTCACTTTTTGGGTGATCCCCCTGGCCACACCCATCCTAGCGGGAACCCAGAGCTGTCCCCAACGCAGAAATCTTCAGGTTTTCAGGGCTGACATCAAATCTTAATGTTTCTGCTCCCTAAATGCTCGCTCCCACCCCACCAGCTCTGGCTGAGAAGTCAGATTCTCAGTCCCCCTTCCCCCAGGGTCTCTGCCTGACTGTCCTTCCCTGCAGGGCATCCCATGGACTGCTGGTTCTCCTCAAGCTCTGAGACCCCCTCCTGCTCGGTGCCTCTGATTTGCACTCGGTGTCTGTGCTCCCTCCTCGTGTTCTCAGCTGCCGAGCAGGCTGCCAGGTGTAGGCAGGGAGTCTTATGCCTCTCACTGTTGCAGTTTGGCATTCCAAACCCGACTCCCCGAAACATCTCTTAACAGCCCGCAGAATCCCTCTGCTTCTCACAGTTCACTCTTTTCATGCTTTTCACCAAGTTCCCGCTCCCCAAAGCCACCTCTTCCCACTATTCTTAGCGGAGAAAGAGCTTCAGATGAATGCTGCTTTTGTCTGGTTTTATTTTGTTATTGTTGTTTCTGCTTCTGATTTTGTTTGTTTGCTTTGGTTTTGGATCAGGGATTGCACGGGTCACATCCAGGCGAGGCTCGGGGCCACACGCCGTCTCTGTGCTTGGGAAACCTCTCGAAGGTTTGCTTGTGACCGTGTGGTGCCGGGGATCGAAACTGGGTCAGCTGCGATAAGGCAAGCTCCTTAGTTCCTGCGCTGGCGCTGGCCCCTCAGATAAATGTTTCTTAGAAGTTTCTTGCCCACCCCATGTTCCTTCACCAGTAAACCGAGTCCTGCTGTGTCCCTCCTCATCTTACTTCCTGCCTGGTGTGGGGCCTTCTGGCCTTATGCTCAGGGTTGGCCTTTTGTGGGCAGAGACTAGCTCAGAGGCCAGCCCTGGCTCTGTGCTCAGGACTGACCCCTCACCTTGCTTGAGGAACCATTTATGGTGCTGGGATTTGAACCAGGGTCACAACTGAAAGCCGCACGCAAGGCGAGTGCTTTCCCTCCTGTGCTGTCGCTCTGGCCCTTGCCTCGCTTTTGACTGTTTCATTTTCCGAACTTACTGACACGTTTGATTTTTCTTGCCGCCGTTAAAAGCACACAAACTCCGCTCAACCTCCCATGTCTTACAATAATGATTTCTGTCTTATTCTCTAATTGCAATGCTACTTTTTTCTGTATATTTTTAAAATTGTTTTTAAATTTTTATTAGTGAAACACCATGAGTTACGGTTGTAGACTTACAGATTTTTGTGCTTGGGTTTCAATTATACAATGACCAAATACCCATCCCTCCACCAGTGCTCATCCTCCACCACCACGGGTCCCAGCATCCCTCCCACCCCCCATCCCCCCCCCCCCCCCATCCCACCCTGCTTCTGTGGCAGGGCATTTCTTTTTGTTCTCTCTCTCCTTTTGGGTGTTGTATTTCTGTATATTTTTAAGATTTGATAAATTGTTTAAACTAAAATTTGCTGTGTTGAAGCATTGTTCAGTGATTGTAGGAGTGAGGCCGTCACCACCACCCATCCCTGGACTGTTTTAATGAGGAAGATGGCAGTGCTATGCCGTCCCCATTGAACATCAGCTGTCCTGCCATCCCTGCCCCGGCCCCGACAACCACGGGTGCATTTTCTGCCTCTCTTCGAATTTTCACTGTTCTGGCACCAGTCCTGTAAGAGTGGAAGCATACATTATTGGCTATTTTGTACCTGGCTTATTTCGAGCAAATATCAAATTGTGGCAAACAGCATTTTTTTTTCTTTAAAGAATATCATTTTCTCAGCTGCTTCAAACTCTTGCCTCTCTGTATGCTTTCCAGTCACCTGCAATTTTTCTTGTCTCTGTCACTCTACTGAAATTGCTTCCCCAAGGTGGTTAGTGGTCTGGTAGTTGCTAAATCCAATGGATACGTTCATTTCAGTCTCCATGTCCGTCTCCTCTCTGCCCTCTGCAGCATTCATGTTGTGATCATTCCTTCTTGCTTGTCACTGCCCTTTTCTGGCTTCAGCCTCCGTTCCTTCCTGATTCTTTTTTTATCTTCATTTTGTCTTTTCCACGGTCCTTCGTGACATTCCTGTGTGTTTCTTCCCTAGACCCTCTCCTTTCCCTGGCCGTTCTCCCTGATTGATCTCCACTTCAGCCCCCAGTGACAGAAACTGTCCTCAGAAACCCGTTGAATGAGTCAGCAGCTCGCCAGTAATTATAGTCCATGGTGGGAAGGGCAGGGGGAGCAGGCGTCAGGCACTTCCAAGCACAGAGGATGGGCACCTGCATTAGGGAGTGGCTTGCCAGGAAAGGCCTCCCCAGCCCGCATACTCTTTGACCTGGGACCTCTGGGAAGTCAGTGTTGATTTCACACGAAAAAGATGCAAGACAAGCCTTCCAGGCCAGGAAGACCAGTATGCTTCAAGACACGGGAATTTGCTCTTGGGAATGCCAGGGGACTCTTGATCCGCAGCCGGAGTTGGCGGTGAATGGAGAGCAGCAAAAGAAACGCAAGCGCTGATGTCAGTGAGAAACCAGGAAAGTTAACGGTTCACCTGATTGGATTTTTAAAAAATTGTTTTAGCAATCGAGAGTGTCGTTGGAGAGCTAATGGGAGACTGACCCTTAAAGTGTGACGGTGATAAAGTAAATGTGAGGGGTAATGGGAAAGTGAGGGTTGGATGGACCTGGGGTCAAAATTTCTCACAAGCCTGATGGCAGATTGGATGGTGCACAGATTTGGGCAGAGGAAACTCTTGGCCTGGCCTTCTAGTTCTTCAGGAGAGATCTGTTCGCAGAATGTTTCTGTGAAACATACTGAAAGCCGCATGCAAGGCCGCACGCAAGGCACAGTGCTTTCCCTCCTGTGCTATCGCTCTGGGCCTTGCCTCGCTTTTGACTGTTTCATTTTCTCAACTTACTGACACGTTTGATTTTTCTTGCCGCCGTTAAAAGCACACAAAACTCCGCTCAACCTCCCATGTCTTACAATAATGATTTCTATCTTATTCTCTAATTGTAATGCTACTTTTTTCTGTATATTTTTAAAATTTTTTTTAAATTTCTAAATTTTTATTAGTGAAACACCATGAGGTACAGTTGTAGACTTACAAATTTTTGTGCTTGGGTTTCAGTTATACAATGATCAAGTACCCATCCCTCCACCAGTGCCTGGTGATAGGTGCCTACCTATCTGAGAGGTGCTTTGAGTTCTGTAGTGTTGCTTCCAAAAAGGGTGATTAACTGCTTTTTTACCTCTGTGTGTTGAATCAGCTTAGAGGAATGTGGGCTTGGGTTTTCTTGTGTAGCAGTTGTAATGTGAAATACTACCCTGGCATTTTGTATGTTTCTTTCTCCAAAAGGTCAAAGCATTTTCACATAATTTTATCACGAAACATATTTGAGAAAGGCACATGACATTGGAAGGTTGTTAA